TTTTGGCAGATGATCCAGAAGTGGTTTGCCCTTGCCTTCTTCTGTGTGTGAATGGAGTAATTGTTGGGATGGCACGGAGGAAAACTCCGTGTTGCCTAGACCACGGCCTTGCCCAACACAAGTTATAAATTCGAACCCGAGACCCCAGGATTACAAGGCCAGCGTTCTAACCGCTAGACCTCCGCGGCGGTCTAGGATTCTGTACGACCAACCAATTCGATCAAGGCTTCCGTGGATTCTCTCGGCTCGGCAGCAAATGCTGAGTTGATACCCAGATTCCACACATTAATATCAGAGATGGGCGGTCACACAATCTTACGCCGAGGTCAGGTCACAAAACTGGCAGTTCAATGTTTGTTGCGTTTATTATTGCCATTTGTTTTGCAATTGTGAATTTCTGACCTCGAAGCATGTGGGCAACAATTCAGGGGGACTTTGTGTTTCCCAAATTAAGATTTATTAATTATTTAGTTATGTTTCAGGATAATGTATAATTTCTATTAGTCTCTTAATTTAGAGGTTAAAAAGTGAATTATTGAATCAGCAAAAAACGTTGTAATAATTTGTTAACACTCTTATTGGGAACAATTATTGATCCATATTTTATTATTATTAGGTAGTGTGTTGTCAGTGATCATGCTTGCCTCATCTTTCTTTACAATTCCGGTCAAAGTTTCTGTTTCCTCTCGGATATTCTCGAAATCGGTATAAATAGGTATTCCACAATAGCAGAACATTGCAAACCTTAGAAACCCTGAATTTTTTAACCTCAAACTTCTCAGGATACCTCGTGCGAAGGAATCGTTAATAATGTAAATTGACATGTTATGGTATATATAGTGTCAGGTTCTTCCAAAAGAGTTTCAATAGAATGAATAAAATACAAGACAGATTTTATAGGATAACCAGGATATGAAATAAAAATGCACCGTGAACCTCATTATAATCTCGTTTAAAATATTTTCGACTACTCACCTAATTTAGATATCGATTTAAAAACAGTTGACTACGAAACGACATGTGGCGCCACTGTACTTACGAGTCCTGTCCTCTACCGCAATCTCTGAAGCTCTTGTGGAACTACTACACTGATATCTATCTCTCTCCCTCCCAAGACGAAGTCAGAACAGAACGTCACACCCAGACGGATAGTTATACTGCGTTCCAGCGTTTTTGGCCGCTGAACTTTGTGAATTGGAACCTCGGAGCGAGTCACAAACCAGAAGTTTGCTGGAAGGGATGCATCAGGCCGCGTACAGTTCACTCCAAATAAAATATCACCACGTTATGTAACACAGGAAAGTCGATTTCACTACACTACACGTCACTAGCAAATTAAAACTGCAGAGAGTGTGAGATAATCTTATCTTCTTCGCAACTCTTCAGTCCTCTTCTAATTCTTCCACTCCTCACAGAAATTCGCTTTCTGAAATATCACTCGATTCATCACCACCGCTGCTGCTGTCCGCTCCATTATCTTCAATTAAATCATATATTAGTGACAAAGCGTGACTAGGCGTGGCCTCCTTTGAAAGCGTGACGAGAGGACACCGTAAGTGTTAAAACATCACAAAGATTTTAAAAGCCGGACAAATCGTGACTACGCTTGACGCACCATAACGACGTGACGAGATGTGGCCATAAGTGCCGTAACGTGACGAAACGTGACTAAGTGTGACTAAGCGTGATCAGCGTTCACGTCGTGACAAAGGATTACCAAATGCGTCGAAATGTGACGAAGATTTACACAGGGCGACCAAACGTGACTAGGCGTGACCTGCTATAAATATTTGTGTTTTGACTTATTCAGTTTGATTAAATCGTACTGTTGAGCTTCGGACACGTCACAAAATGGGATATTCATTTCCAATCGCCAGGCTTTCATTTCGTCCTTTGATTAAGACGTCGGTGGTTTGTCTGTCTGTCTGTCTGTCTGTTGTGATCGAGGCGTTATCAGTGACCAGAAAGGAGATTGCATCGAACAGGTGGCATATCATTAACACAGCACAGTCACAAGACAACAATTATCAGGCTTCTACACTGCTGCAGCAGACTGTACTGACCGACGGAATTCCTTCCTTACTTCATTGAGTGGTCCGCATACTGGGCACTCCCTACAAGGTCAGCGGCCATAATCGGTGAATCCAGTTCTACCTCTAATATGACAGTTTTATTCAGAATTTCTTCGCATGCAGTTCCGTCTGAAAAGTCCTGACCACACACTCGAACGAAATGTGACTGTTTCTGAGAAATAACTGTGTAAATTGAGAGGGTCCCTTTGTTTTCGGCGTTAGGGTCTCCAAGACGTGAGATTAAACCGACAGGGTCTGTCCCTTTCGTGTGTCTTGGAATGAGGCAAATTTAAGACAATTAAATTCACAACTTACGAATGTACTGAAGGCGACGAAGTACAGGTCCGAATTATAAATGTGAACACTTCTGTCCCGCTATTGATGATTCATACACACTTCTCTCAATTTTCGAACAACTGTCGATGCGTATGCCAGAAAAGTACCTAGTCAGGCCACGACCACTTCCTACCATATTCTTTCCTATATGGTCTATATACTGACAGTTAGACTAAATATTTCGATATTCAAACTAGTTGTAACCTCTTAGGTCACGCATTTATTCACAGACTAGCCTTTAGAGATCCAAGAATGCGACGTTGCCGATACATGATCAGAAAGAGCATTTCTTCCACACCAGATCAACTACAAACATCATATATCAGTCGTTATTATTTCCATAATTATGGGCTTTTGAAATTAGGCTTAACAGCAGACCGGGAATTTAAATGCCAGGGCGTCACAAGACGTCCAACCACGGTGAAGGGTTAAGTAACACACGCAGAAGTCGTTTGCCTTCATGATAAGCAAATATTGTAAAAATATTATACTTCAATCTTATAAACTGATACAGTACTTCAATAACTGCCATCTCATTTATGCGTACATAAATGAAACAGAACGACTTACCCATTCTCATTAATGACTCCCTGAATTTCCCTATATATATCAATAATGGGTTCGCTCGGCTCGACAAAATACAATTCTTTGAAGAAATGTTGCAAGATTTCACTATTTTGAACTATCAGGAAAGCAAAGATGCTTCCGATCTCAACAGCAAAATCATCGAGCAGTGGCAGGAGAGAAACAAATATTGTGCTAAGAAGAGGTCCCAGATGAATTACCTCCACACTGAAAAATAAAAATTATTACATTTTGAAATAATCATACACCCTTTAAAATAACCAAACAATTTACATGACAATGTAACAACCAGAGCATTTGCACATCAGTTGTAAATATCGACCACAAACAGAATATGCCAAAGACATAATTCAAGACTTACTTTGGAAAACAAAAAATCTCAAGTCCTCCATTTTAGAACACGATATAGCAAACATTATGCTACAAAAATATCCTGTATGATCATATTTGAAAATATTCATTTCTGGAATTACAAAGTTATATAAAAATATGACACGTTTCTTAATATTCAACACACAAAAAAATAATCTGTTGAAAGAATAAACAGAAACAGTCAATTTTGAAACTACTGTTTGCGCTCATGGTTTAGGCGTACACGCTTAGGAATTTATGCCTTTGGGTTTGGCACATTCTCCCCACCATAAGTATAATTTTCGTTCCCCATATTCCGGGTTTCCGTGAACTTCGAAACCTTCGTTCACTCATTTGCAGTCATGTGGACATGAAATGGTTTCGCGATTCTCTTTTACTTAACGCCTGCTTTGATCACGGAAGATATCTTGAATATTCAGTGCTGCCATCTGTTTTCGACTACGCAATTTATGGCATAACTGTAAGATACGCGTTGTGAGGTGATTGAGGGGAAGACAAAGTTCGAGCTAGAGGGGGATTCTAGTTAAGTTCACAAATGATCTCATCAGAACTACATTACTATGACAACGGAATCAACAACGCTACGGTCTCATCTATAGGTACAACATTGATTTTCAAATCCAGAGTTAATGCAGTTCGTATACATGTGACAAATGTGACCTCTCTTAACGTATCAGCGTGTTCCGTGTGTAACCATTGTTGTGAAGTAATTCGTGTATGCAGTTTACGAATCTCGCTCAACAGTCCCAATATCATGCAAAATTGAACCATCACTGGAAATACATTGTTTTATCTGTGGTTCAGAAATGATAAAGATGCATTTTCAAAATTAATTTTCCGTGACATTGTATTCTTAGGTCGAACGAATTTAGGTTTCCTGTAGAAAAAGCGGATGAAACACATTTGTATTTTACGCTACATCACAGCTTCATAACATACCCTCAACAGGTAAACTACAAATAATGTTCTGAGGTTTCCCTCTTCGTGCATGATACGTTGCAATTCGCACAAACGACTTTCTTATTACAGCTCATAGTTATCGTGATGCTCACTAGGAGGTGTCACTTAACCAGATCACACATAACTAAAATGTGCAGAAGCATTTTCGCTTCATTGCAAGCAATTAACCGCAAACCATGTGTGACAGACAGTCTTCTCTCTCACTACAGATGGCCATGGCGAAACGAAGCAACTTCGGTTGCATTGCAATCAATACTAGCCCTATATATACATATATATATCGATCCTCGTCGGTGAGTGGAGGGGTGAGGGAGGGAGGCGAACTGCTGGTGGCTTGGACCTGCCCGTACCATCTGCTTGTAGTTCTTCGGTCACGGAACATGTTTGCTGTCGTGCTGGTCGTTGATGAAAACAGTGACACGAATTTAACATTTCTACACTGTCTGTCAAAATTATTTTCTTAGGCAAACATCCATATGCGCATTCATTATTTAATTTTCTGGGAGCACAGTTTTCAATACGGAAGCAGTTATACTAATTCTTCTTTCAAGGGCATGTGTTTGTTTCTACTTCAGAGGAGGGGGGAATTAATTACGTCAGTACTAAGTCATTTGTTAGGCACAGGAAAGTGAGAAACGCCTGTTTTGAAAAGTGATTTTAAAAATACCCAAGATCATTTAATTGTTTCCCTTGTTTGAGTAATGAACTCCGCTTTTCACGCCTCGGAGAAGCGAGTCGATCAATAAATTCACCTTTCACTCAATAGATGGCATACAAATCATGCCATAATTTCAGACGAGTAATCTGATTGGCTACTTCGAAAGTAGTCCCAGACATGTGTTTCATTTCCCGCCTCTCGTATTCTGTTATTGTGTGGACCCCTCTAAGCCAGCATTGGAGCCGCCGCGAATAAGTTGTGGCGACCGTCCGTCATTCCCGGTTTGAAGGTAAAGGTTGAAGGTAGTAAGCTACGTTGTCCGTTCTCGTGTGCCGGAGAAGGGAAATACAGCGGCATGGAGAAGAGGATAGAACTCGAAAAACGTGGAAGGAACCCAGGTCAAGTAAGCACGTTTCAAAATAACTGTAGTAGAAGTGTGACGAGAATTTAAAACAGCTGTAATTTTGGTAGTTTACAAGGCAGGTAATGACGAATGCCAGTTGGTGAGGCATGGAGGCCTAATCTCTGAAATAACATGTGTTTGTATCAGTTATCAGGGACAATATGCAGTATTATTTTCAAGAGCAAAATTTAATTGCACGGATAATAATGGTTGTAGCCCTTATTGTAGTTTCGTATTGGGCTTCTGTGTTGGGTAGTTATCGTACGTAAATAATGTTTTAATTACGAACAACATACGTAATAGACGCATATAAATTTATATTGGTATTAACTGTGAATGGTGTTAATTTAAGGCCTATGAATTGCTTAGACCGTTTGTAGAAGGCATCTTGTAAAACACGCATGGATTAGTGTCATGTGGCGTTGATGTTAGCTTCACTTCTCATTTGCTTCTGTAGTTCTGTACCACCGAAGTAAGTATAATAATTTAATAAAAACACATTTTCATGAATACACTCGCGTGGGTGGGGCTATTAAGTTTAAAGTTGTCTTTAATACAGTTTGATTAACACGTTGAATTTTAGCTTCAAAATGGCTTGCTCAGGAATGCTAGCATGTGCACTTACGCGTACAAATACGTAACATTAATGGTTGGTCAACGAGAGAAATTGTGCTTGGTGCCGAATTTCGTGTTACATTGCTTCATTTCAATGCCAGCTTGCATGTTTTGATTTTGATTTGTATTTGTGATGCCATTAGGACGCCATGTTGGGTGATAATTTGTATTACATCACATATTTTTCTTTGTAAGGTGGCAGTACAGTGTAAGAAATAATAATATGCGCTACCCAATTGCACACAATGTTTAACACCATTCTCTTTACACCTGATTCGCCGACAAGGGTACAAAATGTTGTGTCGGTGTCGAGGTCATAAATGGACGCGGCGTCTTTACGTCGTAATATTGTCGATGGCAGTGGTTCCGTGTTAACTGTGTACTAGGACAACTTGTAAGTTATACAGGTGACATACTTATTGTATGGTTTGATACAAAACTTAAGTTCTATTAAACTAGCCATGGTGTTTATAATTATAAATTAGCGTCTTTTCACTTGCGTTGAACCGGTTGCTAAGCGGCCATGATGGGAAATGTGTTGCTGCGCGCTTCTGCCAAACAGGCACGTAGGCACTTTCTTCCGTAATATTTAAACAGTAAATACAAATTGTTACGGCGATTTAAAGTGTTAATGTAACATTTAAAACCGTTCTGTAGTACCTACCCCCAAGTAGGTGGGATCACTGAACATATTTACGTTTGCAAATCGACGACGGGGTTTGTCGAACAACTTTATTTCTGTAACAGCCCAGAACCACTCGTCGCTTTGTACATGACACCCACATAGCGAGTAGCTTTCCGATCGATAATGTAGTTCGTTGTGTTTTAATATTGGTTGTAAATTAGCCCCAGCTTAATCTGTTATTTTCATAATTATTTTTATTCCACAAATACTAAGGATATTACGTATTTTGTTAAGTTTTTAGAAACTGTGCTGTGTGAAGAGTTGGCATTTTGGTGACCGGAAATATGGCAGGACGAAGGCGGTAAATTTAAAAGGAAACCACGTGTTTTCGAATGCGGTCAACTTTGTTTTCTTGTTGACACAAAATAATTGCAAAAATATAATAAAATTTGGTCTTTTGCCAAATATAGTTATTCATAGCAATGATTATTCGAATCTTCATTTGAATCCCCTTATTACCACCAACTTGAAGGAAAATGTACCTTTTGTGTGTAGAACGGTAAATGACATATGAGTTGTTTATTCATAAGAGAAACCTTCCGTTATTAAGGTCATTTTCCGTGCTCTTTTACATGTCCCAAGTTTTGTGCTCTTTGTTAGTTCCTAACATATTCTGTTTCCTGTCTATTGCACTCTTAGTGATATTGTCGATTAATTCTTTGATGAGGTAGGGACAAGTGGAACTGAGCCTAAGGAGTGGTCTGTGAGCTCATTTTTCACGTTTTAAGTGGGAAATAGAACAGATGGGTACAGAAGAAAATTTGTGAATAATGTAGAATGTTATGTGGCTCTAAAAGTTCATAATGATGACAAATTATTACTTTACTGTTAATGAGTATGTGGTTAAATATATAAGAGCAATTAGCAGATGTAATTAATACAGTCCCAGTAAATTGTATTTCTTGTTTCAGATTTATAATATTTCTTTGGAAGTCCCCCTCCTGAAATTCTGTTCACCTCTGATGCAGTAAACAAATAATGGAATTTACTGTTGAGCGTTCCTCTGCTGGAAGTCTGTTGTTTCAGGACATCCCTAAACCCTTAGTAAACAAAATTTTTGCTCTTGTGTAATGTGTGACACGGATTCACTGCTCACCTGTTTATCAGAATTATCTAGGCAAATGTCTATGTTCTTAACACCATTTACTCCTGCTTATATATATTTTTATACCCTTTTCACTCCTCGCGGAGCGTAGGTTCCTCCTTTTGGAGGTTTCTTGATCTAATAGACATCGGTAGGATTCCTTGGATGAGTGATCAGCTCATCGCAAGGCCTCTATCTGTACACAGGACAGGACAACACAGAATATGACCTTTCTGAACTGCTTGTTGATCACTAGCAATTTTGAACTCTGTTTCTGTCTCAAGCTTTGGTTTGTGTAATGAAGTGATTTGTCAAGGTATTATTTTACATATCTGTGTTTCAGATTGAAGATTTGAACCTGGACAATTGTAGGAGTACCAGCATCGTTGGCCTTAGTGATGAGTTTACAAATCTTGAGACGTTAAGTCTTATTAATGCGGGCCTTACAAGCCTCAAAGGATTTCCAAAGCTACCCAACTTGAAGAAGGTAGTGGTGTTGCTTCATTTTGTTTGTGTCATGTGTTTGGAATTAGAAGTTTTTCTTGAATTCATATTTGCGCAACTTGATACTAGATGGAGTCCCGCGTCGTAGCCGCACGGTCTGAGGCATCATGCTTCGGACCGGCGATACGGAATGCGCGCTGGTTCGAGTCTCAGGGGAGAAGAAATTTTCTCATGAGCTTTCGACCAGTGTATGGGACCGGTGCCAACCCAGCATCATGAGGAAATTGGGGAGCTACGATAAGTAGCGTAATCCGGTCAGGAAAACTAGCAATGGCTGGGGGTTCGTCGTGCTGACCACACGTCACCCTGTATCTGGTTGGATGATCGTTCACCTCTGCTTAGGCATGTGAACGTGGGGCCAGCAGTCAAGCTAGTCGGCTTAGGCTCTCTGGAGCTGTTACGCCTCGGATTTTAATTTGATACTAGACGGAAGGGTTGATAAATATAAGTATTTTTAAAATGTAGCTTTAAATTTAGAGAGTGATCGTCAGCCAAACCTTTCTCAGTACACTATCTGATTCACATATTGAATCACATGCTGTTAGAGAAACTAATATTCTGATAAATTCTACCCCCTGTTACAATCTTCTGTTGTGTCGTGTTCTATGAGAGTGCCCAAACACTGTTCAAGGTTGTCATGCTCCAATAAAATTAGTTTCAAGCTGTTGATGTCGGATGCAAACTGCTGAAGCTTTCTTCTGCTGGAGACAGTAAGGAATTTAAACTTTATGCCCCCCGTGCATTGTACTACGTAAAAAGCTGTATGTGTTTAACTAATCCCCAGGTTAAAAGATGAACATATGTTAGTTGGCGTTGACTACCGCCTTGTTATGTGTTAATGGGTGATGTGAAGAACAAAATTGCGTTGTAAACAGTTGTGGACTGTTGTCAATAATGCCGCCTTGTTATTTGCACTTGGTGTGTTGGTGAATTGATTTGTGCACAATTTTCTGGAGGTATGTAACTTGGAAGCATTTTTTAAAAATTGGGATTGATTAACTGAAGTAAGAACCACGATAGCTCAGTCAATATAGTGACTTGCTACGGGTTGGACGACTGGGGTTTGATCTCCGACGGGGCAGAGGATATTTCCTCTAGCCTCTGCATCCAGACTCCTATCCAGTGGGTACCGGGGTCTTTTCCCGAGGGTAAAGCGCAGTCACGGCGTGATGCTGACCACTCGCTCCCATCTAGTGCCGAGGTCAAGAATGAGTATGAGCTATACCTTCTCTCTCCTGAAGCGACCTAACGGGACTGCTTTACTTTACTTACAACAGAAGTAATTATGTTTATACGTGGTCAAGTACTGATTGAAATTAAAAACTTTAACCTTGTTTTGTTTCAGTTTGCCTAAGACTTACTTGAGAAAGCATATTGAAGTAGAAATGTTATCATAACTGATTATTGATAGCGGAAAGGAATATTTCGACTTCATATTGCATTTACGACATTATGATCTGGTTTTTCCTAACATGTCAGCTGCTCTAAAAGGAATTATGTTTTTTTTTTTAGTTAATGAAAAGCAAATTAGGAATTGTACTTACCAGTCTTATTGTCTTAGGAACTTGAGCGTCACACACTTTCCTCACAGTTCTCCATCTTCTACATTCACAAACGAGAGTTCTGAACAGTTCTGGTAAATTTGAACGCACAAGCGTTCTTTGAGTTTTAAATTTTAGTGTCCTGTCTGACGACAGGTCCATATGAACAGGATCCTTCCATCCTTTTCTCGGACTGGGACCTGTTCATATACGTTCTTGGCAGATGATCCAGAAGTGGTTTGCCATTGCCTTCTTCTGTGTGTGAATGGAGTAATTGTTGGGATGCCACGGAGGAAAACTCTGTGTTGCCTAGACCACGGCCTTGCCCAACACAAGTTATAAATCCGGGCACCGCCGGGAATCGAACCCGAGACCCCAGGATTACAAGGCCAACGTTCTAACCGCTAGACCACCGTGGCCATCGTTCTTTGAGTATAAAGATTTAATTGTAAGGACTGTGCTGGACTGAAGTTCTCGAAATATTTCTTCCACTCTGTCATACTTCTGTTGGTAATTTATCAGTGATCTTATTTAAAAGGATAAGGTTAAGCCACCCCGTGTACTAGAGTTTTTACTCAGAATTGGCTATTACAACAACATAAAAACACGAAGTCGTTCTGCTTCCAACTGGTCATAATATAACGTAACGATGAACTATATTGAGTATTATTGAAGAAGCATCTGGGATATTTACCAAATACTTTTAATCTGTTCTCACATTCTGTGTATCGGATTGTGAAATTGGGTTTCAGATTGCATATACAAATGACTGTCATTGAAAGTCTTTGCTGTTGTTTAATCTTGGAATATTTTCTTAATTTTCACAGCTGGAGTTAAGTGACAACCGTATTTCGGGGGGCTTGAACCTCCTCCGCACAAGCCCTAAGTTGACACACCTGAATTTAAGTGGAAATAAAATAAAGGATCTAGATACACTAGAACCCTTGGTAAGTCCTTGCTTTGTGTTCTTTTATTGTCACTCTGTTGTACATAAAATGTAATTTTAATTGCTCCTACAAATTTTCTTTTTTGACATGGACTGTAAATTACTGGCCTTTCTTAGAATATTTATGCTACTAAAGTAGTTCGGCCATTAGTTTGTACTGTTTTCCGTATTCATTGCAAAATATGTGAAAACGAGAGTAATTACGAAGATCGGAGCTGTCAAAATTAAAACTACTGAGGCGCCATATGTATCTACGGTGTCTTTGCACAGGCTGCGTTATAGAAAATGTTCTTTCCTTGGTACAGTTTGAAGTCATAGAAAAAATTACGGTTACAGAATAGTTTAAACACCCCCCCCCCTCCCCACAATATTTACTGTCTTATATAACTGGAAAACATTAATGCACATTTTGGAGAGTTGGAAAATGCTCTTAATGTGCAACGCAAAATTTGCAGGTTGCATACGAGCTTAGCAGTTCTATTTGTTGTTATTTTTTTTGCAGAAGGAGTTCGAGAATTTAAAGAATTTGGACCTCTTCAACAACGAAGCAACAGGAATTGACAATTATCGAGAAAAGGTCTTCCACCTTATTCCAAGCCTGAAATATTTGGATGGGTGAGAACTACTTTCTATATAGCACAAAATGTGTCTGCATTTCTTGATTATCAGCCTCTTAAAATCTTTTCTTCTTTAAGTGGCACAGTTTATGGAATTTGAAACCTATTTATCTTTAAATGAGCGAGAAAGGTAAGAATGCTTATGGAAGGCTGTAGTGGTAAAAAATCCCTGCTGTTATTTATAGTCTTGGAAAATGCCGCAGTCAAGAGAAGGGCTGGGGTCTTCAGGAAACACTGGCCGCTGTTACTGCCGACCAAACTTAACAAAATTGCAAAATTATTCTTCTAGACACAAAAATGTATAATAACATGTTTAATGCAATAACATTTTCAAATCCATGGTAATATTAAAAGCCACGTCAGTTTTACGGTAAAAGTATCATTAGTTGAAAATACAGTGTATCATCTCTGAGTCACCGAAGTCGTAGATTGTGTAACTGAGTGAGAATGGTACCGTGTTGTCCCGTCTATTCTGTTTCAAAATCCCTACCTTGCCTGTTTCTGGCGTTGGGTTGGCCGCAAACTGTTGCAAATCCTTCTATTTGCCTGAAGCAGAACCATGAGGATTTCCCCGCCACCGAGAACTAGCAGAGACTCGCATACCTCTTCCTGCGGAAATTTTAATATAGAGGCCATATTTAGTATTCCACCTCAGTTTGTGAAATGCTAACCGGCTTAAGACCAATGTATCGTTGGTGTCGCGTAACAAATCGCTATTTGGATTTCAAAAAGTTTCGAGGAATTCCGTGTTTATGTGCTTTATAACTACATTTCAGTAAAGATGTCTGTTTGGTGATGATATCTTAATCGTCATTGTTTCAGGTTTGATGTGGAAGACAAAGAAGCTGAGGACAGTGAAGTAGAAGATGATGAAATAAATGGTAACGAGAGTGAAGGTAAGATTGTTTTTGAGATGCGGATGTTGATGAAAGAGAGGCGAAAGATTGAAGGGACGCTTGGAATGGTCCTTTTGCTAAGAATGACTTTTTTGAAAATTGTTTCAGGTATTTGGTGAGGCGGTGGTTCTTGCGTAGAGAAACGTTCATATTAGCCATTTTATGTACAATGTGGTACCAAATAAAATGCCCAATCTTTATTTTTGGGCACGATAAAGCTTCCATTCATTTTCTTTAATGGCTTGTGCGACTTGGAGAATTTCTTTTTGGGAAATTTACCAGGCCGTGTTTTAAAGTACATCGGAGTTCAATTTTGTTTTGTAGATTTACGACTCAGCTGTGCTTTTTGTGTTGCGCTTCCATAATACTTAACCATTTATCACTGGAAGGGGTTTCCCATATGATAAGGTCAATTTAAAGCATTGCCTCGTGTTTTATACCCATGAATTCATTTATGCAGTACTGTTGAAGCACGGGAATGACTTTGTATTCGCTGCATAGTTCGTGCACTTCATTTGGGATCTGTGTGCTGTAAAGCAGTGCCCCCACCAGCCATAATTCTACTAGACTCAGTCGGACCAGCTTAGGCTCGTGTCTCATCTCTGGCTTTGCATTTAAATGGACTCTGAGGATTGAAGTTCAGATGGGGGCATGCAAGAGAGATTGTACGAAATTTAAGAACGTCCACTTAAAGCATAGAACCTGTGGAACATGGGCGTTGATAAAGAATAATACTTGAGTACATTTACGTTAGTTTAGTGTACGAAATAAAAGTAAGTCTGATGTTTGAGTCCAAAATCTTCGTATTTGGACATCGTACCTTGTAATGTATTTTACATTTTAGAGTTACAGGTGCACTTGGTAAATAAATACTGTTAAAGGAAGGGGAAATGGATTATATTGACGTAATTACAGTCAAAAGATATGATGAAGTCACTGGTGCATTGATGTTCATGTATGTGAAGACAATAAGTATTCATTTTGTAATGTATTGATTCTAGACGATGATGAAGAAGTTCTCGATGATGAAGAAGACGAAGAAGATGATGAACATCTTGATGATGAAGATCTTGACGATGAAGATGTTGGTCTGGATGCTGTCTACAAAGAACATCTTGAGGTATTGACTAATGCCAAAGGTTTAGTACTCTTTGCAAGTTGAGGAGTCATAGCCATATTATTGACTAGAACAGTAAGTTCCTTGCCACTGTGATGATACGTTGCAGTCTCGCAAGTGGAGTAATATGCTGTCTTCTACACTGATGATGGACATAATAGTTTTAGTAAGAACTGTTCACAAACCTTCGTTGCATCACTTTGGCCCAATTGTGTGAACTTCCACATAAAGAGTTAAAAAGGTTTGTTATTTAAGATTCGTCCCAAATAAATGGCTGCCCCGATTATCCGACGGCCCAGTTAACCACAATGTACTGTGTTTGTCCACGACATTTGTTATGTGCTTTCTAGGTGAGTAATTTTAAATAGGAAATTTATTAAAAGGCCATTTGCTGCAAACATTTTGGAATGAAATTGTCTCTAAGTGCGGTCATCTTTAGAATTGTGATATTAATCCGTTCTCTTTGCAGGAGGAGAGTGAGGGTGAAGACTATGAAGGAGAAGTTATAGAAGATGAGGATGAAGATGAACTTGTGGAAGAAGAGGAAGATGGTGAAGATGAAGATGCAGAAGATGGTGGGTGGCTTCTAGCGTCTCACTGTACCGGTGCTTAATGCAGGCTAGGTCACGTCACATGTCATTTGCTGTAAAGAAATGCATTTTAAGGTGTGCAGTATTAGCAGTTCTTGGCAGTGCAGGAAAATATCTTCTGATCACTTTGCTATTAATTTGGTGGATGGAATTGCTTCAAGTTGCTGAGAGCTCTCTTAATGCTTTCAGACTACGCAGGTCTCCTTAGTTATGTTGCAAGTATTTTACAGAATTTAAATTTTTTAAAACAGAATTTGATTATATGGTGCAGTTGTAACTTGTAGAAGTGATGTGTTTATTCCAACTTGAAGGAATGTGTTAGTAGAGCAATAGTCTCAGATTTCCCATTTTGAAAATTTAGGTACATACCTGCCATAGAAATTACGAGGTTCTGTAAACAGAATACAAGTACTCGCTATACATGTGCACGTTTTTCCTTAGCTTGCATTATGTGGTGTACCAGTAAAATTAGTATTATGAATTCTGTTGTGTATTAGGGTATAATCAGAATTGTAACAGTGCCAGTAATATATATATATATAAAGTGGGGAAAATGAATTGTTTCTCCATTGCATGGTTTTCTCAACTTATATTAAATTTGTTTTAACGTATTTATTCAGTATAACATGGCCTGTTACATATACAGTGTGAAGAGTATGTTACTTCCATTTGAATGCCTAACCTGAAACCTTATTGGAAACATTTCTTGCAGAGTCGACACCACGAGGGAAGAAGAGAAAGCATGACGATGGGGAAGGCAACTAGAGTGGGTGGGCAGCAGGAAGTGTTACGGGACTGTGATGCTCTTGAACCGAACAGACCGAGCACAGTACGCACAGGCCTGCCTGCAATGTTGACTTGTTTTTTGTTACAGTGGGTGAATTCAATGAGTGGTCCGTTCCAATCATGCACCCGCCCTGCCTCGACAACTAAAAGAAAATGTGCTAAGTGTGGTTGGTTAGGTTTTGTTGGTTGATCAATCTTGTGTGCCCTGGATTGTGGCTACATGACCATTATCTTCTCATCGCATTTGAATTGGCATGTGTGGAGTGTGGCTCGAGGTCAGTTGCCGTGCCACCCCCTCTCCTTGTCCCCTTTGCGATTTGGATGCCAACTTGTTCTTCGGATGAATGATGGCTGGCCAGCCAGTCTTTGTCTATCTGCCTGGCCTACCTAACCATTTCTGACCATGTTAACTCTGAACAAAGGATGGATGCATCTTTTTTGTACAGGAAAATCTCAAAGCATTAGTAACTATATATATTCTTTGCACTTGTATTCTAGCACATTTAAAAATATTAACATTAGCAACTTAATTATTTTATGAAACTAGATGATAAGCAAGGAAGGGAATGGTCTGGATTCAGAATACTATTTAGAAACCAGTACCATGTTGGGTTCAAGATGCCTTACCGGTTCAGGAATGAAATGAGACAGTTGCTGTGACCTGGAATTGGTCATTCTATGTGCAGTGGTTTTTAAAGCTGGCTTTTCTTTCATTTCTTTCTTTCTTTTTCCTTAGAGCATAAATGAGAGTTGTCTTAAAATATGGCTCTTCTTTTTAAGGAAGGAACTCCGATTCCTGCAGTTCATCCTGCCAAAACAGTATGTGTTTAGTATCTAAATGGCCATTAAAAGTACAAATTGTCTTGAATCTTTTGTAAAAACAAATTATATTATGATGAACTGTTGGAATGTGGCTTTTGAACCAGCACCTGCTGATCAAAAATGCTGGTACAAGGTTTTGTCTGTCACTTCAATTGTTAAAAGTGAATTTTTATTGAAAGCTGTGTTGTGTTCTGCTTTATTTTGAATCCAGTGTCTGGTTATAGTGAATTCTCCTATTTAAGAGCAAGAATATATACCACAGGTTAAGTATAACAGAGACATAGGTTGAAAATTTGTGAACTTTGATCATGTATTATGGGCTGTTGTGATGATGTGCTGTCACATAATCACGATTTGGTCGCACCGGTTTCTTTAAAGTGTCCGAGGCTAATTTATATCAGGTTTGAAAATTGAGTTTGTAAGTGTAAATTGAATTCTTGATACGATTTTCTTCCTATGTTTACCTGTTTAGCATAAAATATTTTAAATAAATGAATAAGAGATTGAGGCGCAGTGAAGTTCATTTTATGGCTGTCTCCTAATGAAGAGTAATTTTATTGACATGTTGACAATCTTATTTCAACTGAGGATGGGGGTAGGATCAGATGACCAAGAATGTTTTTGAAGTCATTCCATGCCATCTAAGGAAAGTGGCTAATGTTGACCAAACAACTGAAATCATAATTCTACTTTGAGAGGCATGTCACGTAATTTTATACTTGCATTGTGTTGTAAAATTTCTGGCAGGGATATGAATTTTCTGATGGTTTTAATGATTTTAATCTTCAGTGATGGGTGCAGGGATCATGAAACTTATCAGCAGCCAGTGTAATGACTTCAGAGTAGTATTTTGTTAAGGTATTAATGTTGCATTCAGATGAGAAAGAAGAGATGTTGCAAGTTTTGGTAGGAAGAAGAATAATTATTTTTAAGGAGACCTTGTATTACATTTTGACATGGAAAGTAATTTTGGAGATATGGTTTATTTGCATTTAAGTAGATGTGCTCCATTTAAGTTCCAGCCCCTATGTGAACTGAAATATGTATTTTTCCTTCACATTTCCTTTGGTATGCCATCAGGGATTTGATTTGGTGTACATTTCTTCAAGCTGCCTGAGTTGGTGGAGCAGTGTCAGAGTACAGCAGGACTACACAGACCCACATTCAAGATTGTTTTAATAAAACTTATGAATTGATAGAACTTATTTTTTCCCCATGCACCAAGGTTTGTGATGAGTGATGAATTTATGTAACTTGCAAAAAGTGGTGTGAAATTTTGAAACTCGTTTCCATTCCATAATCCTGTTACGTAATTCTGGCACGTGTTTTTAGCGATTTGATTGTGTTTTTCTTCATAGGTAACTGGTTTGTAAGTGGCTCTGCAGTTACAGCATTTTTCTACCTATGTAGAATTGCAAATCAGGTTCTGTCATTGTGGTTGGATTCATGGAATATGGTTTGCGTTAAAAGAACTTGGGGTAACTTGCTGGAGTGAAGTAGGTTATGTATCAAAGATATTCAGGGGGGGGAAATGCATTTACTCGTTATTTTGTAGTAAAAAAAATGGTGTCTTTCAGACCAGTGCATGTCCATGAAGTTAATCAGATACCTGAAGCTTTCCACGTACCGAAATGGGCCCGTTTTGCGTAGGAACTATTAAATAATAGGACTGGTAGAAGTAAATGAGCCCACGTGAATTAGGTTATGTATCGAAGATAGCCGCGGGGGATGCATCTACTCGTTCTTTTGTAGTAAAAAAATGGTGTCTTTCAGACCGATGTATGTCCATGAAGTTAATCAGAGATACCCGAAGCTTTCCACGTACCGAAATGGGCCCGTTTTGCGTAGGAACTATTAAATAATAGGACTGGTAGAAGTAAATGAGCCCGACTTTTCCGTTCGTAAGGAAGGGCTTGGAAGGGAACGTGTGAATACGACCTGACGTCTATATACTCATACATTATTTATGCTCATGGTTCTTTGTATGCACTGATTTTCAGTTTTACGTGTACAGTATGTAATTCACAAAGATTCATTTTGGTAATTGCCGTGCTCATTACAATTTATTGTTTGTATGTTACGTACTTGACTTGAAGCTGAAATATGTGCTTACGTATTTTGAGTTTATTTTTAATTTTTCGGCGGAAGGATATGATCAGCGTACGAATGCATAGCCCACTCCGAATACATGGTTGTTACGTGTTCTGTCTTGTTGAGTCAGGTCTGGTTATGTAGGCCGTGAAATGACGAGTAGGTGGGGTGTATCCCTTCCGGACCAGGTTCCAGTTTCTTTTAATCAATAATGAACTTACGGGTGTAAACGAATACAAATTGCTTCTTTTAAGTTAATTCTTGTGTGATTAGCAGCTGTTCGTTAATATTTTTTTGTAATTTTGCATATAGAAAACTACGGTTGATCTCAAGGATGAATGAACCACAGAGAGGTTAGTTATATTTTCTGTCGCGTAAAAATAACATAAATAAATTATTCTACTCAAATTCAATTCAATGTTAGTATTCCTTTTAATCTTGCACATCGCTTCTCAATTTTATGGATACAGATCACATTGTTATGACTCCTAAATGCAAGACAGCTTGTTCAACAACACTTGCAATTGAGAGGAGGACTGTTGCAAATGAGGTAGAAACTGACGAGGCCAAAGTACATGTAGCTGGTGGAGATCATCGTGGTATTGTCATCAATAAACAGGTAGCACAAGGTATGAATCATAAATTTAAGACATATTTGTGTTACGCTGATTTTAACACTCCGAAGTGACAGTATCATCAGGTTTATCCAGCCATAAAGCTGAAATTAAGTTGCAGGTAGCTTCAGAAGTATTAACGTGATAAGCATTGCAATGATTTCTTAAATTTCAGCAGCTTTGTTCTCCAGTATCCACATATCATGTGCTATGAGAGTAAAATTGTGAATTTGAAAGTCGTTAAGTGATGATTGCATGTCAGTTATGTTCAAACAGTACAATGACAATGTGAATTTATACATGTAACTTGCATTTTACATCTGTATAAGAATTGTCCCAAGATATGGCCTTTATCCCATGCTGAAACATAGGATATTGTAAAATTCTTAGAAATTCATGATTCATAGGACCAAGTCTAGGGTGTACAACATGTTATAAAACCAAAGTAGCTGGTTGTTACAACTATTTACAGATATCTTGTTTTGTAAGGATATTACATAGTTCAAAGTAATTGTACCAGAGAAATATTTACTGTACTTAAGAAGTTCTAATTAAAACATTTTTTGCAGTTTAGATGGAGTGAGGTAAGAGATAATCCTTTAATGCTAGTTGAAGTAGGCTTGTATGTATATGTAAAATAAAATACGTGAGCATGTCACAAAACCAAAATTGTAACCATTGACTGTGTAAAATTGAAATGGACTAAATCAAATGTAGCTTAATGATGTTTGGAAATGTTGTACTGATTAATGTCTTATGCTCAGGCTCTTAACTTTTTTCCTGTATGTTACAAACAATAACATCTGTTTTGTATCGTATCCTTTTTAAGCTCTTCTCCTTATCCATTAGAATTAAATTCTTGCTATATGCTCCTCTGAAACGTGGTAACCACTTAGAAGATCGTACGGCATCATGACCCAGAAGGCCACAATGAAGGGTGATGAATATTTGTTTGAAGGTAAATTGTAAGGGGATAAGTATTTAAGAGACATTTATTTTGTCATGAAGTTTCAAGATAATGATTTAAGGTTTGACATGGAACTACAATTGTACTTCACTTCCATCTGTTATGTGCTTGCAGATGAAGATAATAGCCCAGCGCAGCTTTCGCTTGAATTCCGCGTGTTCCTTGTGTCTGCGCAAACAGGCAAGCATACCCAGGAGAGTCGCACCCTCCAGTTCTGGTTCGCTGCTTCCACTTCAGATGCAGAGAACGCTGCGGTAGCACAGGAATTCTTTAGAGAATTAGTCAGCCCACAAGATTTCCCAAGGGGTGAGTGTATTTTATTTGTTCTGTTTTGTTTATATTTTGCATGTATGTATGTGATCAATGTTCCACTAGCAGACAGTTTGTGTCAGTCCTGAAGATGTCCTGTGTTTTCTCCCAGTTGTATGAAACTCTTAATGCAGAAAAAATATGTTTTCAGGCATTTGGACAGTATGTTTGTGTTGAAAATTAACTTTGTGGAAAGGAGTCCTTCAGAAGAGTCACAAAGTTACTAATACATTTTTTTTACATTTTTTGAAACCTGAATATTCATTAGGGTTCAGTGACCATTCCCTGTTTTGAGTGACACGAATGTAATCAACACCCTTCCATCCTGTTTCCTAAGAGCCATTTTAAAATTTCCCTTCTGTTTGTGTCTAGGTTTTTTACGAGTGTTCAGTTCCCTTAGGGGGCTCCAACAAAAAATTTGTATGAATTCCCATCCCTGTTACAATTCTGTGCCCAGCTCATCCTCCTTTATCTAGGATTTTTTGAACCCTGCTTTCTTTGTTTCAAATAAATGGCAGGCTAACAGTAGCGTGCCCATATGTCTCTCTGAATGAGTTGATGGCATTTTATTAAACTTTGTGTGGACATTGTGCCACTAAAGGCCACCCCCACCTTTGTCCTCTTTAAGTTCCTTCTCTAGGAAGTATCAACATTATCCAGGTCATTGTTTACTGTGCATGTGAGCAGAATGTAATTTCGCTTCAGATTATGTGGGGTTCATTAAAAAGGTGATGAAGCTACTGCAGCACGGCTTCCCAGCCGTTCGGAAGGTGGAGGTCACCTTGGCACAACTGGAGGGTAGCCAGGCTCCGCTTCCCACAAGACCCTGTGAGTGCTGTAATTTTTCTATTAATATATTCTGTCATTTATTTTTAGGGGTGAAACTGTTTTTCCGAGTGGAGAGATATATCAGAGTCGCGTGTTTTAGTAATTGAGTTATACGCCCATAGAGAGATATCAGAGTCGCCTGTTTTAGTAATTGAGTTATACGCCCATTTCTGAAGGTTGCTTATATTTGTGTGATGAAAATAGCATGCGTGTGATTCCTTGTCGTCTCTGTTCGATAAATGAGTCTGGGTTTCATAATATTTGTTTCACCGCAGTTCTTTAATTTCTTTAATACTTCTAGTTTTGTTAGGTAAAAATTTTATTAAATATTTTTATGCATTTCTGATCATGTTCAGTGGCATGTGTTATTGAAGATAGAGGAGTCTGCTCCTTATGTATTTTAGTTTCATGTTTATTCAGAAGTAAATATAGTGGAAGTAGTAATTTTGAACATGTTTTCTTTACATGTTCAGATCACAAAGTCTGCCACATTTTTCTTAAAAGAGAATGGATTAATCCCAAGGTTTGTAAGTTGTTTATGAAAAATGAGGAATGTAAAGCTAAAATGTGTTTCTCAAAGTTTTATCTAGATCTTAAATTACAAATGCATTTTGAAGTCAGGCCATTATTACATATTAACTTTAGAAAGTGTAAGTGTATTGTATTCATTTCTACTTGATTTCGGGGAGTGCAGTTTAGGAATGACGTTT